TTGTGTCCAGTTTATAATTTTGTAACGAAGAGTAAATAGCTGTCCTACTTTTGGATTTGGTGGAATGTTTATAAATGCCGAAATTTCCGTCTTTTTTCTTTTTAATTCTGGTACTTTCATTGTTGACTCTGTATGAGGAAGTTCAATATCTTTGTAAACAGGAGATTGTTGTTTTCTTTTCCATTGAATTACCAGTAATCCAACATCTATATTTAGCTTTTTGATGTCCATTAAAGTCAACTTTAACAAATAATTTACATGGTATACATTTCCTTGCTTCCAGTCTTATTAAGTAATGATATTATTAGTGGATTTTAAAATTGTCTTAAACAAACTATTTAATGATTTTAAAATACAAACCTTGTTCCCGAAAATCATTATCGATTTCAATTGATGATGCTTCTACTTCTATTCTGGTCTGTGCATTTGCTTGATCAAACTAATAAAAAAATTAATTAGTAAGTGCAGATGTACATCATATAAAGATGTAATAGCCTTTTACCATAACTAAATCGATATCATGTACTGAAATCTCCCATGGACTAGTTGTTGTAATCTTTGCGACTAGAAGATATTTCTCAATTCTTTCCAAAAGATTTATCGAACTTTCTTTACAAAATTCTTCGATTTGTGGTGAAATATTAAAGGAAAACGTGAATGGAGAAATATAATGTATTCTAAGATCTTCCCTCTTTTCAATCCATCCTTGTGATGGAGGTGGTGCAGATGGAACTGAACTGGTTGATGCATAATGAACTGTTAAATGAAGTGTCCGCGAAAAGTTTGATTTTTTTCCAAGAACATAAACCATCTTCACCGCAGATTCTCCTGCTGGTATTATTCCTATATCAATGTCTTTTATATTATTAGAAGAATTTGTTGTGGGGTTTAATGTAATAAAATCTTCTGAATCTATCGAACTAGGTGGAGCATCTGTAACAACCTCCGCATTTAAAAATGCCTTGACTTCCTCTTGTTCCAAATTTACTATAGTAATTTCTATAGGATAGTGTTCATCCAGTAATGCCGGAGCCGAATGCTTAGCTTGTATATCTAACTTGGCAAGTTTTTGCATAACCCTAAGTTTTAAAAACAGTTATTTTTAGTATGGTTAAAAGGAAAAAAGTTCAATGGATCCATTTAATTACTTGATAGTAATACGTTCTCCTATCCCATTTAAGATTGTATAAGTAGGCTTAATGACTAAATACGAATAAAATAATATTTTTTCTTGGTAATAAATTTAAAAATACATTAATTTCATATAATATTAAAGTGTTATCATATACCTTCGCCTTCGGAATCAACATCACCAATCACCCATTTGCGTTTAGAACGTTCCTCCCATGCATTTTTCAAGTTACAATGGAGCTCAACCTTCCATTTTTCCGATAAAAATCCAAAAGAAATTGTCTGAAGCTATAACATATATCGTAAAATCTTGTAAGAAAAAGAAAGAGAAGAGAAAAGATAACACTAAATAAAATATTTACAATTAATTACCTGTATATCCCCACTTTCCTTTGGTACAATCAATCCTTCAAATATTTTAATAATACCTTTACTAAACTTCAAATTTACGTTCTTAACCCATACTAATCCTTCACCATCAACTTCCTCCTGTGAGCAATTTTTGCAATCAACCCATTCTAGTTTTGCATTGTCTTCTTCATCATTACTTTTATCACTTAAATAATGGTTGAAGTACGAGTCATTAAACTTCAAGCGAAGAAATGAGAATCGTAAAGGAGTTGGAAGTGATTCAGCTTGAGTTGTAACTGTAATTTGGAAAGGGGTTTCGGCACCAATGAATGTTGTGTCATCTTTAAATTGTACACGGCATGTTACTGATGTTAAAAGTATTTGTCAAGGTTAATTTTTTTTGATATAATTATCATTTATAAAACGTAAAAGGATACTGAAAGAATTTATTTCATCCATGTCAATGGCAACTTTCCGAAACTCGGGCAAATTGGCCTATAATTATGGAACGATACATTAATATATAAAAATGTACGGTTAAATCCTGTACACGTCAGTTATTCATCACATACTTTAAAAAGTATATCCATAAGTTCATTATGAATTTCGACTCGGTTTTGATTTGACATGGAAAATTCTAAATGATCAAGAATTCGACCGATAAATTAATAAATCCTTTTTTTTTTTTTTGCAAAATTCATTTTCCTATTTATGGACTTACGGTCCGATAAAAGTTCAACTAAATACTCTACAACATTCTCCCAACCACCAAGTTCTTTAGCGCACTTTAAAGAACATCTCAAAATCGATTCAAGGATTGTATGCCAGTGTTCTTTACGATATGTTTTGGCAATTCTTTCAAAGAACCTATTAAAATAGTTATGAATAAATAACGTTTTCTCCTTGGAAACAAATTTCTGCGTGAATTTTAAGTAAATTCATAATATACTTCAAAGCCGTTTCATATTTTCCAGCTTCCAAGTAAGTATTGGCAATCTCAGAAGCTAAATACAACGTCATACGACCAGTTTTTTGTGCCTTAAATTGCTCGTAACTCTTTGTAAACAATTCTATTGTTGTTGTTGAGTGATCTACATTTCGCTCGGCTTCTAAGATATTTGGTGGTGGAAGTTCATGCCCTTCTTTTTTCATAAACTACATAGAAGTTATTATACTTATAAGCTACCTAAAAGATAAGAAAGTTTTTAATAATTTTAAAATTAAAAATTCAAGAATACCATTTCTAATTCCAAAAAATTTTTTCTTCTTAATGAATTATATTGAGCTGCCATGTGATAATAAAATCCTGGGTGTTGAAGAACCATCGTTGGATTAATTCCAGAACCTGTATTAGGATTGTGTGATATACTAAATCTAAAATCCGATGATACCGTGTTATGAGAGATAGTTGCCGGATCCGGGATAATAAATCCAGATCTAGTGGCAATTTCTAGAACATCACCAAAAATGCGATATTGCTTCGATAACCATGCCCAATACTCAAACGTCTCTTCACCGATACCCAGAGTGTCGGATATATTCCTAAAAGTTGACACATGTTTATTCAGTTGAGCAAGCGCCCCAGAAGGGGAATTGATATAAAGGTTCAATTTGCAAATCTAAAAATATTAAAAGTAAAATGTTAAAAGAATTTGAAATATAATTATATCAAAGTTATAAATCAAAAAATTGCACTAACTTTCAGATTAATAGTATCAGCAAGAATTCTAGCTTCTGCCCAACGCTTATTACGAATAGGAAGTCCAATCGCGCCAGGTGTGATAGAAGATTGAGGCGCAAAAAGGTCTACAAGGAGGTTATAAGCCGAATCGTAGTAGCTGCATAATGAATTCTCAAATTAATCAAAAAATAATAATGTATATTAAAAAAAAAAAGCTTAAAAAATTAAGAACCATTACTTAATAGCCGCTTCCATGTCTTGTCGAAATTCGGCAAAAGTTGCCAACTTGTAATCATATCGAATCATCCAACCTTGAACACCAAGAGGTTGTGGGATGGTCGAAGATCGCATAGAATTAATACTAGAAGGGGAAGGTAACCTAGATCGTTTCCTTTTTACGCGCTTGCCATGTTCTCGATAATAATTTAATCCATGCTCATAAAGGGATTTTTGCAGGCTTTTTCATTTTGCCAAATCTCATTTTCAGTATATGATCACGTAAAAAGGCGTAGTAAAGATGACCATATTTATAATCATTAAAATAACTACATACTTTATCACGAAATCTTGTAAATCTCCATGATGAGATGGTGTTAACAAAAACAATGAGTTTCTCGTATCTAGTCCACTAAATCTTCGAATATTTCCTATTCGGTCGTCTATAGTTTGATCTTTCGCATTTTGCACTTTAAGTAAGATAACGGCCGAAAATTTAATACCCCTCTCATGTAATGATTTTCTATAAAAGTCTTCACAAATCAGTCGAAATTCAGGAGAAATTATAAAATAATAAATTGATAATCGCATAAACCAACCTCCTTTCATTAATCTCCATCCCCAAATTGTAATCCATAGACTCTACCGTAGCCGGGGTTTCCGATACTGGGGTAATTTCTTCCTTTTCTTGTATAGGATCAGATGAAGAACGATACCACAATTCATAAAAGCCTACAACAACGCTTGGTAAGATTTCTCGATGTTTCCTTACCCATATAGGGGGAATCAAACCGTCAGGATAAGCAGGAGATCCTTGAGTTAATGGTGAAAGAGGTGAGTGTGCAATTGGCATATTCGGATTATGAGTTTGTGCTGGGGGTCTCATCATTGGTTTTCGAGGAGGAAATTGATGATTCTATAAATCATATAATTGAATGTTTGAAATAAGAGGAATTTTTATTTTTTAAATTATTTTTTTTTTTTTAAAAAAAAAAAACATTGGGATTTTGCATTATAAAAATAAAAAAGTAAAACATTATTTCATTTGATTATACATTAATTTATAATGAATCGAATAAATTTTGGTTCCCAATTCATTGAAATACCCTTGAATGATTTGATTATCAAATAAAACAACAGACCTTGTCTACAGCAACAACGTGAAAGGTTGCACTCGCACTTTTACCAAGCTCCCAAACACCAACTTGGCTTTTTGCAGTTAAAAGTGCTAGCAAAGACTTTGAAAGCTGTTGTTTTGCAGCGGTAAGCGCTGAACTCGCACCCAGTGAGCTTCTACGCGATTGAGGTTTAGAGCTAACGGGAGAACTTGTCGCAGAATCAGCCGTAATGGTGGACTGTTCTACCAAGTCTCTCGCTGTACCTAGACCAATTACAGCCATTAAAGGAACATGATGCAAAATGAACTCCGGAGGATAATTATCCATAGTAGAATTCGCGAAAGGAAACGTATAATTTAATTCTGTCATCAATATCATTTTTAAATCAAATATAATTCATCACGTGATATGTAAATTTGTCATACCAACAAATTTTATATTTTATACATAGATTGAATTTTAACGTTAATAGATTTTTTTTTAATAAATTATTTTAAATCATTTTAAAATTTTACAATTTTCTTTTTTAATTTATTCTTTCCAGATTTGACAGTATTCAATTTCTCTTCAGACTTTTCTAGAACCTGAATATGAAAGTCATCATCATCAGCTCCATGTTGCAGATCCAATTTACCTACTACAACAGAAGTTCCAATAGCTAATATAAAAGAGAAATGATTAGAAGAAATGATCAAGTAGTTACTTTAAGAAATGATTCCCAGTTAATACCTGGATTTTTCAATGCACAATCTTTAGCTAAATGAGTTACTTGACTACAGAATCTACATGAGCCTCCGTTAGGATATAATCCTTTTTCGTTTTTAAGACAATGTCTAGAAAGATGTCCTTGTTCATTACAAATAAAACATTTTGCATAAAGGTATTCATCACCTAGAAAACGTAAACATAAACTTTAATGAATCAATTTGAATCGTCTTCCAAATATTAATATAATATTAACCTTGTTTAATTGTTTTTTTGCAATCTTTGGCAATATGTTCGGTTGAACTGCAATTATAACACATGCCTACACCTTGTTCTTTTGCTTCTGGACAATCCTTTACGCTATGACCTTTCTTCCTACATCCAAAACATATCTGTATGGACAAGCAATTATTCTTAGTTTATTATTTTTTTTTTTGAAATGAGAGACTGAAAAGGAAATGCAATAATCCAATCGTACAGTTTTGTTTTGGCGTTCTTTTATTCTTCTCTGTCTACGTTTTTCTGCTCTTTTCGATTTAATTTCTGAACAAACAAATTAATTAAGTGTTACCATTATAAAGTTACAAACGCGGTTTAAAATAATTATAAGTACCAGTATTTTCAGTTTTCTTTATCTTTTCTTTATCTAATTTTATTTTCTTTTTAGAGTTCTTTTCCAAATTAGAGTTGACCTCAGGAGTTGAAGGTTCAAGCTTTTCTTCTCGAGACCTTTTGTTTTTCTGTTCTTTTATTTCAGAATTGTCTTGTTCGATAGCTTCATCTAGTTGAAGTGGCTTAATGTTAAATCCTTCAAAACCGGTAGCTTTTTCATATTTCTTCTTTTCTAATTTGGTATATCTTGTCATGATATTTAAAGATGTATAAATTTTTTTTTAAACTGTAAATTCTGTTAAAATTAAAAAAAGTTCGTGTCACCGAGAAAGTTAGGTTAACATGTGTCATTAACCATAAAAATTTTCTCTTTTCAAAAATATTGATATTCCTAGCAATCGAGATAATTTCCTTTTTTGACTAATTTATCACATAATTGAAAGAAAGGAATATCTTTGGATATAATCTTTCTACGAAGTTGTTAAGTATGATTTTCGCAAGTATTATTAAAGAACTGAATTGTGAATTTTAATAAATAAATATGTATATATATAAATTTACCAAATGAAAATATTAATTAGTAATCCATTAAATAAAGTGACCGGAAAGAGATTATATGGTAAAGAATGAAATCAATACTATTTAAGAGAAATATTCAAATTGACCAATCGTGTTCATATCATTATTGATATACATTTCATATAAATGTCACCTCCCAAATAAAGTGTTTTTTTAAACGACTTTCTTCAATTTTTCTTATATTTCCGTCTACAATTAGCAGACTTTGCCATACTGTGTTATAACATTCCCATATAATCAAGTTTAAGAATTAATTTCTAGTAATAAAGCAAATAACATAAGAAGTAAGCTTACTTTTTAATAGGTAACCTGAAGATCGGTACAACCAAAAATCCAAAAGTGGGAAATGCCTATATTTGATTAGTAAGCAAAAGTCAGGTAAGTAGTTGATCAAAGTTTGATCTAGAACTAATGTCCAAATAAAGTTACTTTGAAGTTTATTATTTCTACACACAATCGGAATATTATGATAAAATATGGCTTCTCTCCGTATTACAAATTCGAAAAAAAAATTTTTTTTTATCTACCGAATTAGTATCAACTTAAAATGGGTCATGATCGATAATCTGTTTTTGTTATAAAAGGGACTATTTTTATAAAGGAAAAAATAATCAAAAACAAAAATGTTTACAACTCGGCTACCAAGACTCTCAAGATTTTATTCTAGCGTTTCCCCATCCCTTAAGGTATTAAAATAACATTAACGATTTTTAAACTTAATTTATTTTTTTTTAAAAAAAAAATATTCGTAATTTTCAAGACTGTGGATGGCTTTGTTGGCGCGATAGGAAACACTCCTTTGGTAGGTAAATCCATTAATAAATGCTTAATGATTTCTAATTAAATTCATTTTATCATAACTAAAGACTTGATTTCAGATACGACTAAAAAGAGCAAGTGAAGAAACAGGATCAGAAATTTTTGGAAAAGCCGAATTTATGAATCCTGGTGGCTCAGTAAAAGATCGTGCTGCATTATTTGTGGTTAAAGAAGCGGAAGAGAAAGGTCTATAATATACTTAAATATGCGATAATATCGAATATAATTAATCGTTTAATGTAACCATTTTTATTTTCTTATAGGCGAGCTCAAGCCAGGTGGTACTGTTGTGGAAGGTACAGCTGGTAAGGAATTTAAATTTATAACTTTATCCATTCAAAAGTGGATGCATGATAATTCATCTACGATATTAGGTAACACGGGCATCGGACTTGCTCATGTTTGTAGATCAAGAGGGTATAAATGCGTGATTTATATGCCAAACACTCAAAGTCAAGAAAAAATTGACCTACTTCGAATGTTGGGTAAGACTTGCTATAATCTCTCTTGAGAACATAATAAAGATGGTTAACTATAATTTCTATTTAGGAGCGGAAGTTTATCCAGTTCCAGCTGTTGCTTTTGAGAATCCGGAAAACTATAATCATCAAGCTCGACGACATGCAGAAAAAACAACGAATGCTGTCTGGACGAATCAGTTTGATAATATTGCAAATCGACGCGCTCACTTAGAGACCACTGGCCCAGAAATTTGGGAACAAACCGAAGGCCTTGTAGACGGATTCACATGCGCTACCGGTACTGGTGGCACTCTTGCAGGAGTAACTCGCTTCTTGAAAGAAAAGAATCAAAAGGTTAAATCATTCATTGCTGACCCACCAGGTTCCGTCTTATATAGTTACTTCAAGAGCGGCGGAAATTTAACGGAGCGTTCAGGAAGCTCGATAACCGAAGGAATAGGTCAGGGACGCGTGACAACCAATCTTCAGCAAGATATAGAATTGATCGATGACGCATTATATATTTCGGATGAGAAATCTATCGAAATGGTGTTCAGACTGCTGGATGAGGAAGGTCTCTACATGGGTGCATCGACAGCATTAAATGTAGTAGCTGCGGTCGAGATGGCCAAAGTACTAGGTCCAGGTATTGGTTTTTCCATTAACATTATAGTAAGTAAATTTCGTGTATTTGACACGTAAATAACCAACTTTTGTAAAAATTAGGCAAGAAAATTGTAACCGTTCTTTGTGATGGTGCATATAGATACCAATCGAGGTTATTTAGTAAGTTGAATTTGTTTTGCGTCAGCTTTTGAATGTGTTTAATGTTAAATAATCTCTATTTTATTTCAGGCCGAAAATGGTTAGAAAGTAAGGGACTCCTCCACGCAATTCCAGAACATTTACAAAAATATATTGTATTGCCTTAAATAGAAAAAAAATTCTTATTCTATTCACGACATTTTCAAAAATTATAATTCATGTTGTTAGGCAACTTGCCGAAAGTTCTAGATGTAATTCTTTTTCCTAGAATAATAATGGTATTAAAAAAAGGAATATATTGTACATTAAATGTTTATCTTCCTGCAGAAAATAAAAAGAAAGTCGAACCTTAATGATACAAATCGTGCCATAATTAATTCATCTTTAAATCATATGTCCACCTTCGTAATCTATCTATGGCTCCGCCAAAAGTAAACGCTGGGCGAACATCCAAATAAAAACTGACTGCTTGAGGCAATTTTGGATCGGGTTGTCCAGAATAAAAATCAATAACGTATGTCACTTGTTTTCCACAACGATCAATGATCCAATCGTGTCTGTCGAAAGGAAGCTTATAACTTTTATTGATTATTTTTTTTTTTTAAAAAAAAAGAGGGTTTAGCTAAAAATCTTTTAATGTAATAAAGTATAATTAAGTTGTCTTTTTTTTTAATTTTCATATAAAGTAAACCTTACCCTAACAAATTAAACATTCTAGCTTTCGGAGTAATACTTTTTGCTTTACCTTGAAACTTTACTAATTTCGGTCCACCACATTTACTATTTTTATACGCATGTAGGTATAAATATGATTATTTCAAAATTACAATAATCAAATTTTATTATAATTACTTTTCATGTAGTTTTTCCCATTCTAAGATTTCTTTCCATGCCTTTTCATTCACTGCATTGTGCATTGGTACAACAACACGCATATCTTCTTCTCTGGGATTCCAATTCTTTCGTTTCATTGCATTATAGAACATTTGTTCTGATGGGTATATCCATACTTTCTCATTATTTTCTCCAATTTGATTCGAAGTAGATGTTTCGGGAATAACACATGGAATACTTGAATGTTCGCGTGAAGTTTCAAGGGGAATACGTTGTCCCTCCACTGGTTTTTGGTTCGGTTTCAATGGCATATTATTCGATGTATTTATCAATGTATCGCTACTACAACCTTTCCCTTCATTATTTATATTGGAAGGCAAAGACGTAGCGGTTTGCCAATTTTGATGGTCAACGGGACATTGTAATGCGGGTTGTACGTTTGTCGAATTTGTTGAAGAAAATGTATCCGACATTATTTTTTTTTTTGATAGTTCGATTTGATTTTTTTTAGATTTAGGTAGATGATCTGACGGATTTTCTATTACCCCTGACAAATTAGATGACAAATAGGATTTTTTTGTCTTCAGATTACATAATAAAAATGAAAAAAGGTGGAGGAAGGATATATATAATATCTTATTTGAGATCATGAGGTAAAAAAATTTGTGGGATATTGGGAAAAATATTAGCTTAGTAGGTTTATATGTAACATTAAAAATAATCATTCTACACTTTACCTGTAAAAATATTTTTAAATTTTATATATTATCAGTAAATTAATAAATGCCTTTAGTTTTTAATAGAGAAGTATTGAAGTAAACCTAACTCAATCTCTAATCAATAAAGCTTATCAATAGAAAGAAAATCTAAAAAAAAATAAAATTTTATTTTAGGTTCAGATTTAGCATTAACTTATAAAAATTTTTTTTAAAATTTCCTTTTTTTCTATTAACAGGCATTATTAAATGTAATTTTTTAATATTTCTAATATAGCTAATTTATTTGTTTACTAATTTGATTATGTAACTAAATCCAATATTATTTTTATTTATAAATGAATCAGTTTTAAAATTTAAAATTATTTATATTTTATAGCTTTTCATGTAAAAGAATGAAAATGTGCTATTTTAAAATAATAAAAAAGTAACAAGAATAATGTAAAAATTTTTTATTTAATCTAAACTTAAATATTTTTATTTCAGAAACTTTTAACTTCTTATAAATTTTACCTTTTTCATGTTACTCCATTTCATCTTTTTCATATTGTTTTTTTTCTTCTCTATTAAAATCATTCACAATATTATCAAATACTAAATAAATTGTATCTAATACCATCTTTTTTTCTTATCCAACTTTTAACACTCTTTTTTTTTTAACTTTCATTAATTTTTCTATCTATTAACACTTTTTTTTTTTTTTCAAATATTATTTTTTTTTATTTTTTTCATTCATTACCTTTCTCTTAATTAACTATTGTCACTAAATAAATTACTTCTTTTCTCATTATATAAATAAGAAACAAAACCTCCCAAAAAAATTAACAAATAGCTAAAATTATCTTAAATATAATAAGAGATATAATAAAATCCTGAAACCTGAAATTAGCTGAAACTATATTAAAAACATAATAAGGAATATGATGAAATTATTTTAAGAGAATTTCAGGAGACATCTATAACTCATTACTTATTTTCATATTTTTTTAATTTTTTTTTAGTTTTTTTTTCTGATTTTCCAGTTAAAAAACTCCTATTTTTTTCCTAAATAAAGCTTATCATTTCTATGTAGTATTTAGGATCAATTAGTTAATATATATTTGATTAAAAATAATTTTTTTAATTTAATTTATAAATTTATTATAAATTAATGTAATTTTTTAGATAAATTTGATAAATTTCAAAAGAAAGTTTTAGCATTTATAATAAAATTAAAGTAGTTTTAAAAATTTTTTAAATTGTTAAGTTTTATTAATTTAAAACTTATTAATTTGGGGTAGTAATACTAGACAGAATTATTTAAAAATTTAAAATAATATATAGATTCAGTTGGTTTCAAAAGATATAAAATCATTTTTCATGTATGTGATTCAACTACTGATTTATTAATTGCAATTTCAACTATAATTGATACTTAATATTATAATTATTATTTATTAAAATAAAATTGATAATTTATTTATAAATCTTAAATAATATTGATTATTTATTTAATAAAGTATTAGTTTTTGAATATTTTGTTATTATTTGTTATTTTTGTTAATTGATTCTATTATTATTAAATTATGATATATAATAAATAAATAAATATTAAAAGTATATTTGTTCTTAATCAGATATAGATTAACCTATAACTGTTTATCTTAAATATCATGTAAAAATAATAAGTTTTGTTTAAAAAAAATTGGTTTTTTTAGCAGAAAATTTAAAAAAAATTATAAAAACTGAATGTAAAATAAAAATGTAAAGATATTGAAGTAAAAAATAATAAAGATTTAAAGAAGATCAAAATATTTATATGAAAAATAAAGAATAATAAATAGTTGGATAATAGAAATAATAAAGGAAAAACAATAGTTTGAAAAATATAAAATAAAAAAAAAAATAAAAGAATAATAATAAATAGTTAAAAGGAGAAATTAAAAAAAAAATAAAGAATAATAATAGTTTGAAGGAGGAAATATTTGTAAAAAAAAAAGAATAATTATGATTTGAAATTTAAATAACTAATTTATTTTGTTATAAAGCAGTTCATCTTCTATCTTTTACTCAAAAATTAAAAATAAAAATGTTTGTTTTAATCTAAAGTTTAATATTAATATTATTTAAAAACATTTTTTAATACTTATCAGGTTTATTCCAAAATGGAATTTCAAATTATTTTCCATATTTTTCGCAATTTTGCTTTACCTTCCTTTAACATTTCCTTTTATATAAAGTTTAAATAACTAAAAATTATTAATTATTTATAATTTTTATTTAATACAATTCAATTATTTTGTACTTTCTTAATTAGAGATTATTACTTTGCAATCTTTAATTATCTCATTAAACTTATTTTAATATTGTAAAGATATAATATTAGTGTCAAATTTTTTTTCAAATTTTTTACAACTTCTTTCAAAAAAGATAGCTTTGATTTTTTTAAGTATACACCAATATTTTTCATTCTTTTTTTTCTTTTATTGATTAATATTTGAACTTTATTATTATTCTAATTAATAATGTTTGGCATTTTATATAAAATTAAAAATAAATTTTAATTTTTTAACAATTAAAGAAAAAAAAAATACTTTTTTATTACTTATATAAATTTAAATAAATATATAGGAAACAGTCAGTAGAAAAGGAAAAAATCCAAAATTTTTGATAATTTTTATTATTAAGCCAAATTTGTGCACATAATCTAGATTAGCTAAGTGGTCTAATAATATAAATTTTGACTAAAATTTAGATTTCCTCCTTTTTTACTGTTTTCAAGTAATAAATAAAGAAATCAACTTTAAACATAATTACTTTTCTTTTACATATCTATTACCTAAGATTTGATTGTAAACTAATACATTAACTTATTTTTGAGTTTATTACTTAAAATAAACAAATTCTCTAAGTTTTTTCTAAGTCCCTAAACCTTTAAGTTTGTAAAGTTGAGCAAAGTAATTTCAAGAAATTTTAAATACCTGTAGGATGTAAGATTCTTTAAAATTGTAAAGTCTGATAATTAGAAACTTACTTGTTACAGTAAGGTAATTTAGGCAAATACATGTAAAAAGAATTATTTCCAGTGATAATATATTTCTCCAAAATATTTTCATAAATACATTACAATTCTAAATATTCAAAGGAATTAATATAATAATAGTTAAAGAATTTGTATAACTTGATATGAAAAATTTTTACTTACTATTTTTACATAAGTCATAAAGTAAAACTAAAATCTAACCTTTTTACAAACATTAGATTTAGAAATTAGATATCTTCACATAAAGTATCCTATAAACAAAACTAAACTAAACTATTAATATATCAACTGAAAACCTCTAAAAAACTCTAAACATAACATATATAATAGTTATAAAAAACCAGTAAATCTAATTAAACAAACAATATATAACATGCTACCAATCAAAATTGAAAAATACCTAGTATTTAACTTTATCAACATTGTAAATGAAAAAATAAAAAATAATAAATATCTTCATAAACTAATCTAACAAAAACAAATTTACTAAAAATTGTATAATTACAAATAGGTGTCAGAATTATGCTCCTAACCAATAAAGAATATAAACAAAATATGCAATGGACGATTAGTGTAATCACTGACATACCTGACTTACACATTAAAATACAAGAAATAAAATACGTATTTTACATTCAAGGAGCGTTAGTAGGCGCAGCTATAAAAAAATATATCTCAAATTTCATGATCAATGGAGCACCTGCAAGCAGAATCCAATACCCTTTAATAAACGAATTCTCTCTTATAATTCTTAAGTCCAAGGAATAATACTACCAAATGTATTCCTAAACCTAGATTTTTAAATGTTTGAAAAGGTTAAGCCTATGTAATACTAAGCAGATGCAACAGTTGGAATGACATAAAAATCAAATTAGTAACTAAAAAAGCATTTACCATTGAATAATCAATAATCAAAGAATATGAGAGAGAAAACAAAGCATCCAAATCAAAATACATTAAAAAAATAAAATAGAACATAACTAATATATAAAAATTTACATACAATAAAATTACGTTCAACAATAAAAACTGAACCAATCATAACCTGACGGCGACGAAGTCGCAGCACATAAAACAACATCGAATAAAAAATAATTATTCTTATGGAGTTTGGTTTAATGTCAAATTATCGGTGGTTCATATTTAAAAAAAAAAAATTCAAAGATGTATATATTTTAACGTATAGGATGGACAACAGAAGAAGGAATTAATGACGGCTAGTAATTAATATTTTCTACAAATGAAAATGAACTAAATGCTAATTGTGTAATTTAGACTTTCATCCCCTGTTCACGCAAAAATATGTAATTACGCAAGAATTGTTAAGCGCAGTCGCGACTCGAGGAGAGAAAACAATCGCAAATAATCATTTACGCCTGATAATCTATTAAAACCAAAAAAAAAGTATTCCTAATGTTCACTTATGTTTATTCAAAAAATAGATTCATTGTATTTCAATACTAGATGAGACGAAGAGGGACGGACAATCGACATTTAATTACGAGAATTTATGATCGATGGCATGTAGTATCGGTCTTAAGATTCCGATGGTTCTAAAATTACTTGAATTAAAAAATCCTTATGGGAAGTTGTGCTATATTGACTTACCAAATTTGGTAATGCTACAATGGTTATAAATAATATGGAAGTTTCCCTCACTTTTATCACATCATATCAACCTTTATTAATCAAAGAATTTTATAGCTTTAAACTTTAAAAATTTTGGATCATCTTACAGTATATATAGTTTATGTTACACTCACTTTCATTGTGTTTTGTGATATTTGAGAAACCATTTTACATTATAAATTTGACAAGATATTCCTTTCAATTAAAAAATACAGAAATTTCAAGAATTTCATACCTTATTCTGATATACAGTATTAAAAATTCTTTTTTTTTTTTAAAAAAAAAAAATAAAAATAACTTGATAATAATGCTTAAAAATTCGGATTTCAAAGAATGGATTGAAATGTGCGTTAAATTAAATCACATTAATAGCTTTGATTATAACGAATTTACTGAGCAACATTTGATCGGTGAAGGGAGATTTGCTTTCGTAAAATCTGCAATGATGAAATGTGACGTGAAAGTTGCTTTAAAATCTTTAAAAGTCGATGTTATATTAGAAAAAAGTATAATTGAAGAATTCGTAAATGAGGTTGGTCATTTCGTTAAATTATTGAGATAATTTATAAATTGTACCCATCCATATGCCTAATCAATAGTATTTTAGCTAAAACTCCTTCGTAAAGTAGATTTTCATCCTAACATTAACCGGTTTTTAGGAGTTACTAAAGGTGCGTTAAATAAATAAAAATAAACTCTTTCCTATTAAATAAAATAATTTATCATGATTGTTTCTTTACTTTAGACAATAGATATGGGCAGTATATAATGGTATTGCAATTTGCTGATAGTGGTAATTTACGAAATTATCTCGATGATTCCTTTACAAAGTTAACTTGGTCAGATAAATTCAGAATGGCAAATGCAATCTCCAGTGGATTAATGTGTTTACATAACAAACGAATTATTCATCGAGATCTGGTAATAAACAATTTTTAAAGTGATACATTTAAATTATCGTATTAACTAAATTGTTTCTTGTTAATATTAGCATGATAAAAATATATTAGTACACCAAGGAAAGTTGGTGATAGCTGATTTTGGTTTATCAAGGGAATTAAATAATAAATCATCATCAGCTTCGACTCTTTTTGGAATGACGGCTTTTATAGAACCTAAATGCTTTGAGGATCTAAGTTATAAGCGTGATAAAAGATCTGATATATATAGTCTTGGAAATCTGCTTTGGGAAATCTCTAGTGGAAAACCTCCCTTTGCTTCACAATCCCCATATTTACTTCCACAAAAAATAATAGATGGCAAAAGAGAAAACATCATTCAAGGAACACCAGAACTATATGTTGAATTGTATCAAAAATGTTGGAATTCTGAACCAATAAATCGACCCAATGCTAAAAAGGTTTTTCAAATATTAAAAATAATTTCTTCTCCGAATCCGCCAAATAATATTCCAGAAATCTCATCGGATGATGAAACTTCATCAGATGAAGAAAATGATATATCATTAGATGGTTCGGATATTGATTCATCAACTTCTGGTGTGTTATTGGAAAACTTCCTGATTATTTGTTATAAATTTGGATTGATCCATCTTTCTAATTGTTATCTTTTTTTTTTATTTTTTTTACTAAATAGATGATTGCGATGATAAGGAAAATATGATTAATATATTAAATGATTTGGTTCAATTATATACAAATATGTGTCAATTAGGATCAAGTGAATCTGATAGAAGTTATGAAAATTGGTTTGGTAACAATATTTCTAAATCAAGAAGGTTTTTTGATTTTCTTAAAAAGAACGCTGAAATAGTAAAACATCATGAATTTATTCTTGGAAAATTTTATCAAAGAGGTTTCGGAGTAAGACAAAATAATCCAAAATATTTTAAATGGATGGAAAGAGGTACTCGTAAAGATGATAAACTTGCATATTTTGAGCTTTCAAAATGTTATTTTTTTGGTAAAGGAGTTAAAAAGGACAATGAAAAAGCATATGAACTTTATAATCGTAGCAACAGGATATGAAAGATATGAAAAGTTTTATTAAACAAAATCATTCATATCAAGTCGCATAACATCAATTTCAACATTTATTACTTTAAAATAATTCAGTATTTTTTTATTTATTTATCTAACTATAATTTATACAATACAACACGTTTAATTCAACCAGTTTTTCTACCTTTAAAATCAATAAAATCAATAAAATCATTATTTAAAATGAAAAGTTTAACGTAGGCGTGTTTAAAGTAGAGTAGGTTACAATATATACAGAGGAGGGAAAAAGTAATCAAAATCAATAACTGTGATTTTATCTTCTAGAATCTTCTTCATTAAATTTATAAAAGTATATTAATTATAAAATAATATTACAACTATCTATTATTAATTATATTAAAACATCAAAAATATATAAACTGAATATTTTTAATATTTACTGTATATATCATTTTTTTTCATTTTATATATATTAAATTTTTAATCATATTTATTTTTTAAGTTAAATAAAAATATTGTAAAATAAAAATAATAAATATATATAATAACTAAGTAAAATTTAACAATTATAAACACAGATTATTGATTTGTTTTATTTTTTTTACATTTTTTACTTTGTAATTTGTTATTAACTTATTCTTTAAAATCTAAAATAAAAAACAAATTAATATATTAAATAGTAATACAATCAATTCATAATATAACAAACTCTAAGGTCTGGATCTCAACTATGTTATAAAATTATATAAATTTTTTAAAGAACTTAATTGGCTAGTTTATTATAAAGTAAGGTATATTTAATATAAAGGAGCTTGTTAATAGAAAGAAGGAAAATCTAAAAAAAAAGTTTTTATGAGTTAATGTTAAATCTGAACTTATTTTACTAAAAAAATCATATTTAGCATATAAAGTAAAATTTTTTTTTTATTGATCATATTTGATTTAAAAATTCACTATATCAAAAATTCATTATATTAAGATTTGACTTTAGTTGTTTTTTTTTACTTAAATAATGTACCAATTAAAGTAAACTTTAATTTATATAATATATTTAAATTTTAAAAATAAAGCAATTTCAAATTATTAATATAATATTTAGTTTTATAAATAGATTTGTTATAAAAATAAAGCTTTATAATAAAAGTAAAAAAAATCAAAAACCAATAATTTTTAAATTAATATTAAATTTAAACTTATTTTTAATAAAACTTATTTAGCATATTAAGTAAAATTTATAAGTTGTTTTTTTTTGTATTTTTTTCACTTTTTATTATAAAATACTAATTATAATATTTAATTAATAATTTAATATTATCATTTTATTAGCTTTGCTTTCAAATTTAAAAAAAAATTATTTATTAATTAAAATTAAATTTTAGATAAATTAAAAATTAGTTATCATACAAATAATATTTTTATAATAAAATTTATAATATTTTTTAAATAAAATCAAAAAAAAATTTATATTAATTAGATCAAAGTTTTGAATATTTTTAATAAAAGTATTTTCTTTATAAAGCTAAAATTTATAATTATTATTTATTTCTATATTATAAAAAACTTTATAAAATATAAAAATTTATTTTTAAAACATTTATTTATAAATTTAAAATTATTTATTAATAAAAAAATCATAAATTTAAAGTTAAAGATTTGTATATATTTAATATTTTAGTTATTAAAAAAGATTTATAATAAATTTTATAATGTATTTTAACTAAAAATTAAAATTGTAAGTTTTTATGCATAATAATTGATTGAAAATCATGTTTAAATTTGAATAAAAACTATTACCATTTAAAAAATAAATTATTTAATTATTAAAAATTAAAAATAAAATGTATTATTATTATTTATATTAATTTATATAAAATGAACCTTGAAAAAGTAAAAATAATTAAACTTTTAAAAGTTTATTTGATTTAATTTATTTTAATTATAATTAATATAAAATAAAAACATTTGTGAAAAATCTAAATTTTACTTTATATACTAATATGTTTTTTTAGTAATATAAGTTTAGATTTAATATTAGAAATTTACTATATATTACTACTGGTATTTATCACCAGTGCTATGTGTTTTATATGATTATATTGCATTTATTATTTATTATCTTATATTATGTCTCATTATTTTCATTTTTACTATATATTCTAGAAACTTAGAATTTTTTCACTGCTAAAAAAAAATTATCTTTTACAGAAAATCAAAAAATTCTACAATATTGATTTGATATCAAATCTATATCATTATGATAACTTTATCATGCTTTAATAATAATCAAATTAAAATCGTTAAATTTATCTTTATTATATTATTTTGATGCAAATACAATATCAATACAATATCAATATTAATATCAAAATAATACCAATATGATATCACTAATTGAAATAATCCATTTTGTTACTTTTTTAAAGTGCTGAATGTTAGCTAAAATATAGTCTAATTTATGCTGATCATTATCAAAACAATTGGCATTTTTAGTTATAGCTGATGTTGCCTAATTCAAATGCTATACAATAAATATTTGACATTAACGATTGATAGTTGTTTAATATATTTGATACAATTAGCTTAAATTTGTTTAAATAATAAAGCAAATAAAAATTGACTTAGTTAATTTTTTTTTTTTTTTGGTGCGTTAGCAGGTAATAAAATCATAGTATATTATTACAACCTAAGTTGTGTGCTATGAGGTGACTACCTAAGGTCTCAACATAATTTTTCATATGAAGCAACCATTAACTTGCACTAACCCCGGAGGTTGCCATCTAGGAATAGACTCTACACAACCCTTTTGAGGGGGCCAGCGTAGGTACCTAGACCTCTAGGTCCTATCAAATTTGGATAAAGGGATCACTTCAGCCCATAGAGTCGTCACTTCTATGCTTTACCAAAGTTAAGTAGTCTACAATTTGCCTTACGCCCACATAGTGCATTATTGA